TATCCTTCTAAAGGGTACGTAGCCCTAGGTTTTTATCCTAGGTCAAGTCCAACTTTATAAATAATTTTTTTGTTTGTAAATAAAATTTTTTTTCTTTGTTTCTATCTTTTTCTTTAGGGTACTTAAAATATAATTAAAAAAAGCCATATTAATTTTGAGTAGTCGACTTAGGATAACCGTTCTCTTGAACGGGTGTTGTGGGGTGCCTAACACCTCCCACACATAATTGACTCCCAAACCCTGTCCAGTTTTCATAGACCATGTTTTTAAGTTCCCAAAATTAACCTTTTAAAATTTAATGGCGACTCCTCTTTCTTTTCCTTTTATGAGATGACCAGGATTCAGGCGCGACAACAACCAATGTAGCAAAAATATGTTTGGCACATCAACTAATTCTTTTATTTATAATATAACAATTGCATTAATATGCATGTAAAGTCAGTATACTAAATGCCTGAAAAATATTTCTTCAACTTTAATTTTAAAATTTAAATCAGTATATATATTAATTGATTTATATAGGAAGGCGCGCGTGGTGAACGATGATGGATTCACCAACAACTCCATGCCCCAGCTTCCTACCATTTTCATGAATTCCCACTATTTTCTGTCTTCATACCTTTTTTGAATTTCATCTTACGCCTTTTCCCTCTTCCATCATTCACGGAGATCTTTCAGCTTCTTTATCCTCACTTTCATTTATTCACTCCCCTTGCTTTGTATTAAAACATTTAGCTACAATTAATTGACATCATTCAGATGATGTTTTGAAAAATATTTTTCAAAATACTTTTATTTAATAAAGGTTATTAAATTAATGTATGTTCACTCTGCTTCCACACATAGGGCATTTTGGATTAAAAAAATTAATTGAAAATTTACTTGTGAGAGAATGCTAAGCAGAGAGAGAGAGAGACACGATGAGAGAAAGAGAAGAAAAAAGAGAGATGTGTGCCTAAGGGCCTGTTTGGGTGACTCCCAAAAACCATGGTTTGGGTGGAATGTCACCCAAACAGCAGATGTCATAATCTGAAACCATGATTGGGTCAAAACCATGGCTTCAGAAAAAGTGAATTCATTCTGCTTCTGGCTCAAATTGGAGAGTATGATTGTGCCTGTCAGAGTAAATCTCAACAATAATATGACCTTAACATCCCTCAATTAATTTTTATAAATATATTAATCTTATATCTTATAAATATATATACACATATTAATTATTCATTAATTATATTATCTTATGTATTATTAATTATGTTGGTAAAAAATATATTATTAACAATTTTATTCCTTCAAATTAAAATATATCATAAAATCTATCTTTTATGTAATTATCATATTAACTTATGTCTTTTTTAGTAATTTGTATATATAAAAAGTGCTTCTAATAAGAACTATCCAAACACTTCACTTCTCAGAATCATTTTTTCACAAAATCTATTCTTCCAAAATTTATTCTCCCTAGAATCTATTCTCCAGGAGCTATTCTCCAAACCATGGTTTGGTTTCATCCAAACACCTCCTAAATGATTTATTCATTAATGGTGCCCTAGGTACAAATGTATAATATAACATGACAGCTAAGCACTTTTAACTAACAGATTTAGTTACATACAGCTGCCTAACTACTTTGACAATTCAACTAATACTCTGACATTACGAAGTTTCATATTACTGCCTTTGATCCTAATTATAAGATCTAATTGACTAATTTGGGGAGATTAAGGAACTTAGTTAAGTTAGTTATTTATAATGAATAACTATTATTTTTCTTAAAATATCCTTACTAATCAAATTTGTTATCTAGAACTACCATTATTAAAGGATTATCCTAGAAAAAAAGATAAATATGAAAGACAAAATAGATTAGGGTCGTATATTTAAAACAAAAATAAAGTCAAACAAAATCTTATATTAAGGACCGGGGGTAGTATAATTCCAAGACAGGCTTTCAAAAAAAGACGAAAACTGATAAAGTTAAGGAAATATTATATACGAAGCTTCGTGGTGGACTGGTGGCATAGTTTTGATCCCTTAATAAGACAATTGGTGACATATTCGCTACAACTTCGACCCTTCATTCTCTCTTCTTCCTTTAGCCTTCGCTTAAGATTAGCTCCGAGGGTCGTCGATCGCATCGTAATCATGGAACATCGAGCACCATCTTTTTCTATCACTTACAAATGGACTTATGATGTGTTCCTTAGTTTTTATGGTGATGATACTCGCTTAGGCTTCACCAGCTATCTCTACCATGCTCTGCATCAAAGTGGAATTCATGCCTTTCTCGATGATGAATTCATTAGGATCGGAGAAAATATCACACCCGCGCTTTTCGAAGCTATACAAGAATCAAGAATAGCCATCATAGTTTTCTCAGAAAACTATGCAAACTCAACATTTTGTTTGCAAGAACTTGAAAAGATTCTGGAGTGCTTCAAGGAAGAGAGTCGGTTGATATATCCAGTATTTTATTATGTGGATCCATCAGAACTACGACGTCCCAGAGGAAGCTATGCAAAAGCATTGGCTCGACTGGAGAAAAGATTCAAAGACAATAGGCTCCAGGTGGAAAAATGGCGGCTTGCTTTATCTCAAGCTGCTGAACTCAAAGGCTGTCATCTCAAACCCAAGTATATCTCCTCACTCTTTTCATTCATCATTATTATTATGAGTACAGTTAATTACAATATTTCATCTTACAACAACATACCCATACTCTATGCTGGCCAGTTCGGTTCCGTTTTTGTCGGTTTAAAAATATGCTGATTTTTTCTTTGAAAGCTCAACAAAGAACTTGCTTTTAATTTTATTTTCCTAGAAAAGAGAAACAGTTACTCTACACATGCCATATTCCTCCCAATATTTAGGGTGGCTGAATTCCATTAACTAGGTAGAGCACAATTAATTTACACTTACTGGTGTATGAAAACACTCACCATTTACACAATAAACTTAATACTTTTTTAATAATCGGGACTGAATTTAAAATAATGTCACAACACTCATATTTCATCATCTACAATGTGAGGATTGAAACTATATCTTATTGGGAGGAATAGGAAGTGCAGCCAAGTCTTTATACATACAATTGACAATTCTTTATGTTTAGTTTGACTAAAAGCGAACTTCTTACAAATTGGTCAGGATTGCAAATGAACAAGAGTGTATTACAAGGATCACTGATGAAATTGCTGCTAAGATTAACCAGCAGCGTTTGCACATTACAGATTATCAGGTTGGGATTGTGCCTCGAGCCAAGGAAGTTATCTCTTGTTTAGATCTTTGGTCTACTGAAGAAAAAAAAATGATAGGAATTTGGGGAGCTGGGGGAATAGGTAAATCCACTATTGCAAGAGCTATATATAATTCCATTGCTGATCATTTTGAAGGCTTATGTTTTCTTTCTAATGTAAGAAAACATTCTCAAAATCCAACTGATTTGTCACATCTTCAAGAGACATTATTAAGTACATTAGTTAAGGAGAAAGATCTCAAATTGGGTGACTATCATGAAGGAATACCAATAATAGAACATAGGCTTAGTAAGAAGAAGATTCTTTTGATTCTTGACGATGTTGACAAATTAGAACAATTAAAAGCACTTGCTGGAAGTTGTAACTGGTTTGGTTGTGGAAGTAGAATCATCATCACAACCAGAAATAAGAAATTATTAGTAAGTCATGGTGTTACAAGCATTTATGATGTCAAGGAATTAGATGATAAGGAATCTCTTAAGTTGCTTAGTTGGCATGCCTTTGAAAAAGAAAACGTGGATTCCAACTATATGGAGGTTTGCAATCATGCCATAAATTATTCGTGCGGTTTTCCATTAGTTTTAGAAGTGATTGGTTCTAACTTGCGCGGTGAAGGAGTTAATATCTGGAGGTCTGCATTGGATCAGTTTAAAAGCATTCCGCATGAAAGTATTTTGGGTGCCTTCAAATTAAGCTATGACACTTTAGGAGAAGTGGAGAAACAAGTTTTCCTTGACTTGGCTTGTTTTTTCAATTATGAGAAATTAGCACTTGTCAATGATATGTTGCTATGTGTTCGTGGAATCCGATTAGAATATGCTATTAAAGTGTTGACTGATAAATCCCTAATAAAGATTGAGCGAGATTGTGTAATAATGCATGACTTGATAGAAGGTATAGGTAAAGAGATTGTTCGACAAGAATCATCATATGAGCCTGGTGGACGTAGTAGACTATGGTTCTACAAAGACGTTCTTCATGTCTTACAACAAGACACGGTAAGATAACCAACATGCATTTTCATTTTCTCAAAAAAAGAATTATAATGATTCATAACATCTAAATTTTGAAATTTATTGTGCGTGCTTTTCATTTTGGAAGGGGACTCACCAAATTGAAGCCATAGTTCTAGACTTACCTGAAAGCATAGAAGTACAATGGAGTGGAGAGGCATTCATGAAAATGAAAAATCTAAAAATGCTTGTGATAAGAAAAGCATGCTTCTCTGAATGTCCCAAATATCTGCCAAGGAGTTTGAAGTGGTTAGAATGGAAGGGGTATTCTTTCAAATTTTTACCATCTTTGTGCCCAACTGAGCTTGTCTATCTTGACTTGTCCTTTAGTTATTGTGAATTGCTCCAACCATTTGACAAGGTGAGTATATAGGTACCCTAATACTTTTACTTTTGTGTTTTTTTTGGCCTAATTATAAAAAGTAAATTGATATTTGTGTTGCAGGTGTTTCACAATATAAGTTGTATGAATTTAAGAAATTGCAAATTTTTGCAGCAAATACCTGACTTGTCTGGAGCTTCTAATTTAAGAGAATTGTGGCTTGATGGTTGCACAAATTTAATTGGAATTCATGATTCAGTGGGGGTGTTTAAATCAATTGAGAGAATTGAGCGCTATGCGATGCAAAAATTTGAAGATTTTGCCAACTTGCCTTAAGTTGACCTTTCTTAAGCATCTCAACCTCTTTGGTGTTCAAGTCTTCAGAGATTTCCAGAAGTATTAGTCATCATGGAAGAAATGAAAACACTTGACTTAGACAAGACAGCAATTACTGAATTGCCATCTTCAATTTGCAATCTTATTGGACTTGAAATCTTGCACATGGAAGAGTGTCCTAATCTTATGCAACTACCAGCTAGCATTTGTACATTACCAAACCTTTGGAAACTGACAGCAAATTTTTGTGAAGGAATGAGTCATTTTAAGATGTGTGAAGGTGGAGGTGAAGCAAGCGTAGGTTGCTCAACAATGGCATTGAAAATGGAACGACTTTTTTTCTCAAATTGCAATTTATCAGATGATTCTCTTGCTGTCTGTCTTGCTAACTTCACTAATATGATACATTTAGATCTGAGTTTTAACAATTTCACAATTCTTCCAGAATGTATCAAAGAGTATCACAATTTGAAATATCTTTTGTTGGATAATTGCAACAAACTTGAGCATATTGGAGGGATGCCACCAAACTTGGAAAAATTTAGTGCCATACGTTGCACATCATTGACTAAATTATCCAAAAACAAAGTAATGGAGCAGGTATCTCCAACCCCCCAAGCCCTCTCTCTATGATTATATTCTTTTCTTATTACTTATGTGTTTGTGATTTTTTTTGTCTTTTTGGCAATATGCAATTGGCAGGCAATAAGCTTTCAATCTGGGAAAAGAAACTTTATTTTACCTGGAGAAAAATTTCCAAAAGGGCTCCATAAGTATAGTCGGAAATTTGTGTCATTTGGGTTCGTAACATGCTCCCAACGACTTTTCTCTGGATTCTTGTTAAAGATGACCAGGATTATGTCTACAGTTGTCAATTCTCTGTGGACATTGATGGGGCCATCGGGTTGGGTATTTCTTCTATGTGGAGTTCATTGTCACCAATAAAGACGAATCATTTTTATATATGTGATATGCAAAGCATGATTCACAACACTAAACTCCCCATTACAAATGAGTGGAGTCAAGTGAAGGTTTCCATTGAGAGCAAAACACAGGAAACAGAAGGCAAAAAAAAAAATTTACTTTGGAGTTCATGTATATGATCTGCAAAGCAACTTGGAAAATATTAAATTCGTGCGACCCGCGGATTACTCAACAAAAGGTATTTTCCCTTCCCCCGTCTCTTTATTATACTATTGATATTCTTATTTTAACGCTTGTAACTTCAATTCGTCATCGACTTATGCTCCTTTTTTATTTTTTATTTTTTTGACTTTTGGAAAAACTCAAAGAATATGACTATAACCGGGGGACAAAGGAAAACATAACCGTTGTTCCTCTCTCCCAATTTTTCCTCCTCAATCTCCTTATATTCTCATACCTTTTCCCACACACTCTCTTTCCCTTGGTCTAGCTGTGTGCCGAGCTTGTTGGAGGATATATATTTAAGGAAAGATTAGTAAGAAATCTCATAATAAGAACTTAACTAGTAATTGATTTCATTTAGGAAGAATTGTACTAAAGCCCCACATAATTGAAATAATTGCAGAGAAATCCTAACACAACCTGAAATTACTCTGCATGACCAAGGAATTAATTGGAAATTATTTTTTATTTTAAATTACTAAAATGCTCTGCAATTATTAAAAAGAAAAGCTCCCACCACCGCTGAAGACCTGGCGCGGCAGCGCCAACATTAGAACTTTTTTTTTTTTTTGGGGTCAACCAATGAGATTAGAACTTCTACTTGTTGAGCACAGTCTCTTATTTGCATATACTATTTGCATCATCTATACTGCATTAGCAAAATTGCCTATTTTAATATTATTTGCAATATTTACCAAATATATTGTTTACCATAACATATATACTGCTTTTAATATGCATCCTAACACATACATACATAAATACATATATTTTTCATATGCACAATATTTTTTCAAAAATATTTATGGAATAATTTATTTCTCATAGATACACATATCTTTTTGCTAGGAAATCATATTACATTAGAGAGTTTTTTGAAGCATCAATTTGTTCCTATTTATAGGAGATTCCAATAACCTATCTAAAATGGCCACAAAAAAAAACCTATCTAAAATATTTATCACTATTTTTTATTCTCACTATAAGACTGTAAGAGCCAGTTAATTAATTTGGATAATATATTAAGGAAGCAAGGTTAGTTGATTATAACAAATGTGACATAATCTCCTTAAAATATCCCTATATAACATTAGATTATTTATCAATTTATAAGTTAGGTAAATTATTTTGAAAAAAATAATGAATAAAAAAATTAAGATCTTATATTTATAATCAAATCTAACTCTCAAATTGACTTTTATATTAAGTGTTAAAGGGAGTATTACGTTTTATTTTTGTCCTGTTTATTATTGTACCAATATTAATTAGTCAAGCTCCATTAGTTGTTCAAGCCGCCCTTGTTTATAACACAATCTCGTAGGAGCATAAATTTTTATTTACCATTCTGCAGCTTATAATTATTATAATTTTATTGTTACTATTAATGTTGCTACAACAGTGACCATGATCAATCGCAACTTAAGTTTCATTCTATATTTTTAACATTTTCAAGGTTAAAAAAAAAATCTATATTTTTAACATTTTAGAGATGTTTATGTAGTTCTTACTTTAGTGTTTCTCAATGTTTATTTCTATTTTCATGGACAGAGATATGTGTCAAGCACAAGTTTAAGTGTTATCAGGATTTACAAATTTCGGAAGATGGCGGTTATATTTGGTCAGGAGGTCGTTCCTACGACAACTTGATTGACTTGTGCCTGACAGATTGCAACAGATGTCGGAGAATTCCTGCACTTCGCCATCTACCTTCTCTGAGGTCCTTAAGAATTGAGAGATTACAAAGTGTGGTGACTGTGGGTTCTGAGTTTTTCAAGGCTGCAAATGATTGTGCTTCACTTATAGTACCGTTTCCCTCCCTTGAAACCCTTCATTTTGAAGATATGATCTCCTGGCAACAATGGCATTCTATTGATATGCAAGCTTTTCCTAAACTCCGCTTTCTTAACTTTGTTGATTGCCCCAAATTAGTTGGAAATTTACCCCCCCAACTTCTTTCTTTAGAGGGTCTGAGAATTATGTCATGTCCACTGCTTGCTTCTTCTATCCCAAAGTGTCCAAACATTCACGAGTTAGAAATAATTAAAAGTGAAAATGTAGTGTTGCAAGAGCAAGAATTACCACCTTCCCTACGCCGTCTGGCAATTTCAAGCGCGCACATGTTGGGTCCTCTGTCTGAAAAGTCGCATATTGAAGATTTAACGGTGGATTGTTCTGATGCTGTGCCATCTCCAGTGATTCATATTCCCCCTTCAGTGAAACAGTTAGACGTGAGAAACTGTGGAAATCTCAAGGCTTGTTTGGTTTCAAAGGCACCTCTTCTTCATCTCCGAAAGATTTCCATTTACAAATGCAAGTTTCTGCCGTCCTTGTTTGATGACATGGAACGTCTTGTCCCAAATTTAAAAGAGCTAAGCATAGAAGGATGTCCAGAAATGGAGCCATTTTTAGCAAGGTCCTTACCATCCAGTTTAAAACGGCTTGAGATAAGAGGGTGTGACAAATTATTGTCATGTCATACACTATGGCGTCGCCTTCCAACTATCACTGAGCTTCTCGTCTCTACTCTATCTGACACATTGCATTGCACAGGACTTCAGCATCTAAACTCTCTTCAACTACTAGAAATTGTGGATTCTTTCAGCCTTGAGAAACTAGAAGGAGGAATGCTGCCTCCTTCTCTACATTGGCTCCACATTAGGGATTGCGGGCTTCTTGAAGGACCATGTCGCAACAAGGATGAGAAAATTTGGCCCAAAATCTCCCACGTTCCATACATCAGTTTAAATGAAAAGTATTTAAGGTGCACTGATATGATCTCTTACTCCAATTACTGGTTTAATATTCAGTATTCCATTTTGCTATTACATGCAAGCAGACAAGGGAGTGCTTCCATGTAAAATGTTCCTCGCTATTTAATTATATGATTCGCTGAATCCACCAAAAATTATAATAATACTATTACTCTTCTTTTGTGGCGGAGTGAAATTAGTTTCTAAGGCACTTTTTCGTATTCTTGGTATTTTTCTTCACTCTGAACCCCTTCAAGCATGGCTTCTTTTCCCTGAAAATTTTGTTGCTACTTAATTCTTCATTGACTTCAAATCGTTTCATTTAATTGTTATTATATATACTCCCTTCCAAGCCAACAAGTAACTGCAATTTATTCAAGTACTTCTTGAAAAATGAGTATATACTAATTATTCTCAGATACGTCGTCATTCAAAATGCTGTGCAACCTAGTGCACAAATTATCTTGTGATTACATTTAAAATGAATGTTTTTGTTTTTAATTATTATTTTTCTTTGTACTTAAAACAGTTTACCTTGGGTGGAACTATTATTAGTTGGGGGTGTGTGTGTGTGTGTGTGTAAAACAAGGGTGTTCTCCTGGGTGCAGGAATGGAGATTCAGATTCAGATTCAGTGAACTCCTCGGAGGATGAAGGTAGTTATTGATCCTTTTTCTTTAATGATGTGTTGTCACTGATACTGTCTTCATATTGTATCCTTAGTGTTATTTTAAAATGTTACTATCTCTAATCCGTATTATAATCACCATAACAACTTTACATAAGTTAATGAAGTTAGTTAAAATTAATTATTTATTGTAAAATATTAAAATTACACTCAATAAAAGTCATTAGTTAAAGGAGCTTCGTTACTTAGGAAGTTTTATAATTAGATAGGAATATTGGGCTGAAAAACTTAATGCTTCAAACAAAACACATATTATGTTATATAAAACAGGTACTCATAAGAAGAATAGGAAGCTTAAAGAATATATTATTATGATAAGGAAGTACTACTGAAATAAGTAATGGAATAAATTACTGGTAAAAAAAAAGTAATGGAATAAATTAAATAAAAGTTAATGAGATCATTAAGAAGTTACCTTCATACCGTGGTTCTCTTTTCTTTCTTATTTTTACAGGTTGTAATTCGTCATGAACTTATTTCTTTATTTTTGTCATTTTATTCGTCATGGACTTGTAATTACTTTGTATTTATTTCTCTTTATCCTTTCCTTGGCCTTCAGCTTTCTTCCTCTCCCAATTTTTTCCTCTCAATCTCCCAATTCTCTCATTTCATTTTAGCCTTCCCCTCTCTCTGTTGCTCATCGCCAATGATGAGCACGTAATTTCCACTGTCCAGTGTGTTGGGAATATTTTTAAAATGAAAAGCTGTATTTTTTGGAAAGTCATATACTTAAGTAAATTTGTTAAATTAATAAATTTATATGGAGGGTTGTGTCCTATAAATTAATATATTAATATGAGAGTTTGCGTCTTCATATAAATTAATATATATTTATATGAAGAGTTGTATAGGTAGTTACAATACTAAAAGATACCAAAGTTAGTTTCTAAAGACACATAGAAAGGTATGATAACCACCACTTGGTGGAAGGTTATGTCATTTTTTTAAGGCAATCTTACATAATAAAAAGTATGACTCTTCATGGAAAGGATATTAAATATCTTTTAGTTATTTAAATTATGTTGGTTTATGAATCAACATATGGTTAGGACTTTTAGTTGAAGAGATATTGGTCTAAGAGGCATCTTTGCAAGGAATCACTTCATGATCTATATAAACCCCTCACCATCAATCCATTTAGACAAAAAGAAAGGAGACGCTACACAAACATACAACAAGATTAAACTTGTTTCCTTTATCTTTGAATACAAGCAAAGATAAAGTCAAATTCTTAATTTGTAAAAGTCATTGTTTTCTTGGCTTGAACTTTGATAATGCAATTGATGTTCAAGGATATTCAATCTACCTGTAGAGAATTCACCAATCAACCTAACTTGTATCCTATAATATTAATAGGTGAGGGCGAATTGAGCCTAAAAAAATGTTGGCCATACCTTAAAGATATTGTGCATCACTTTCTTCCTTATCTCTTCTTATACTCTTTGTAGAATCATTTCCGCACACAGTGAATATCGAATTGGATTGACTTCTAGATGTGTAGCCTGGCCTGTGTTCGTAGTCCGTGAAACATGATTTCTTAGAAAGCCTTGCATGCAATTAGCTTTTGCAAACCTAATAAATTATCCTGTTTTCATTAAAATTTTATGTTATAACATGTCGTCAAAGCATAAAATTTATTTAAAATTGCTCATTTGCTACAAGCTTTGGCCAATTTGTAACTTATTATTATAAGGGTAAAATACCTCAACATCCCCTTTATTTAACCTAATGCGCAGTTTGGTAGTAAGGAATTAAAGGCTGGGAAGTGGAAGTGGAACCATACTTTTGGCAATTTGTTATCATGGAACTCAATTCCTGACTTCCATCAAAATCGATGGAAGTGAGTTCCTTGCCTACCCCCATGGAACTTTTAGTTCCAATCCCAGTTCCATGAGGCTTTTTCCTTCCTTGCCCTTTGCTCTTTCTCCTTCCCTTTATAACATTAGATTATTTATCAATTTATAAGTTAGGTAAATTATTTTGAAAAAAATAATGAATAAAAAAATTAAGATCTTATATTTATAATCAAATCTAACTCTCAAATTAACTTTTATATTAAGTGTTAAAGGGAGTATTACGTTTCATTTTTGCCCTGTTTATTATTGTACCAATATTAATTAGTCAAGCTCCATTAGTTGTTCAAGCCGCCCTTGTTTATAACACAATCTCGTAGGAGCATAAAATTTTTATTTACCATTCTGCAGCTTATAATTATTATAAATTTATTGTTACTATTAATGTTGCTACAACAGTGACCATGATCAATCGCAACTTAAGTTTCATTCTATATTTTTAACATTTTCAAGGTAAAAAAAAAATCTATATTTTTAACATTTTAGAGATGTTTATGTTGTTCTTACTTTAGTGTTTCTCAATGTTTATTTCTATTTTCATGGACAGACATATGTGTCAAGCACAAGTTTAAGTGTTATCAGGATTTACAAATTTCGGAAGATGGCGGTTATATTTGGTCAGGAGGTCGTTCCTACGACAACTTGATTTACTTGTGCCTGACAGATTGCAACAGATGTCGTAGAATTCCTGCACTTCGCCATCTACCTTCTCTGAGGTCCTTAAGAATTGAGAGATTACAAAGTGTGGTGACTGTGGGTTCTGAGTTTTTCAAGGCTGCAAATGATTGTGCTTCACTTATAGTACCGTTTCCCTCCCTCGAAACCCTTCATTTTGAAGATATGATCTCCTGGCAACAATGGCATTCTATTGATATGCAAGCTTTTCCTAAACTCCGCTTTCTTAACTTTGTTGATTGCCCCAAATTAGTTGGAAATTTACCCCCCCAACTTCTTTCTTTAGAGGGTCTGAGAATTATGTCATGTCCACTGCTTGCTTCTTCTATCCCAAAGTGTCCAAACATTCACGAGTTAGAAATAATTAAAAGTCCAAATGTAGTGTTGCAAGAGCAAGAATTACCACCTTCCCTACGCCGTCTGGCAATTTCAAGCGCGCACATGTTGGGTCCTCTGTCTGAAAAGTCGCATATTGAAGATTTAACGGTGGATTGTTCTGATGCTGTGCCATCTCCAGTGATTCATATTCCCCCTTCAGTGAAACAGTTAGACGTGAGAAACTGTGGAAATCTCAAGGCTTGTTTGGTTTCAAAGGCACCTCTTCTTCATCTCCGAAAGATTTCCATTTACAAATGCAAGTTTCTGCCGTCCTTGTTTGATGACATGGAACGTCTTGTCCCAAATTTAAAAGAGCTAAGCATAGAAGGATGTCCAGAAATGGAGCCATTTTTAGCAAGGTCCTTACCATCCAGTTTGAAACGGCTTGAGATAAGAGGGTGTGACAAATTATTGTCATGTCATACACTATGGCGTCGCCTTCCAACTATCACTGAGCTTCTCGTCTCTACTCTATCTGACACATTGCATTGCACAGGACTTCAGCATCTAAACTCTCTTCAACTACTAGAAATTGTGTATTCCTGCAGCCTTGAGGAACTAGAAGGAGGAATGCTGCCTCCTTCTCTACATTGGCTCCACATTAGGGATTGCGGGCTTCTTGAAGGACCATGTCGCAACAAGGATGAGAAAATTTGGCCCAAAATCTCCCACGTTCCATACATCAGTTTAAATGAAAAGTATTTAAGGTGCACTGATATGATCTCTTACTCCAATTACTGGTTTAATATTCAGTATTCCATTTTGCTATTACATGCAAGCAGACAAGGGAATGCTTCCATGTAAAATGTTCCTCGCTATTTAATTATATGATTCGCTGAATCCACCAAAAATTATAATAATACTATTACTCTTCTTTTGTGGCGGAGTGAAATTAGTTTCTAAGGCACTTTTTCGTATTCTTGGTATTTTTCTTCACTCTGCACCCCTTCAAGCATGGCTTCTTTTCCCTGAAAATTTTGTTGCTACTTAATTCTTCATTGACTTCAAATCGTTTCATTTAATTGTTATTATATATACTCCCTTCCAAGCCAACAAGTAACTGCAATTTATTCAAGTACTTCTTGAAAAATGAGTATATACTAATTATTCTCAGATACGTCGTCATTCAAAATGCTGTGCAACCTAGTGCACAAATTATCTTGTGATTACATTTAAAATGAATGTTTTTGTTTTTAATTATTATTTTTCTTTGTACTTAAAACAGTTTACCTTGGGTGGAACTATTATTAGTTGGGGGTGTGTGTGTGTGTGTGTGTGTGTAAAACAAGGGTGTTCTCCTGGGTGCAGGAATGGAGATTCAGATTCAGATTCAGTGAACTCCTCGGAGGATGAAGGTAGTTATTGATCCTTTTTCTTTAATGATGTGTTGTCACTGATACTGTCTTCATATTGTATCCTTAGTGTTATTTTAAAATGTTACTATCTCTAATCCGTATTATAATCACCATAACAACTTTACATAAGTTAATGAAGTTAGTTAAAATTAATTATTTATTGTAAAATATTAAAATTACACTCAATAAAAGTCATTAGTTAAAGGAGCTTCGTTACTTAGGAAGTTTTATAATTAGTTAGGAATATTGGGCTGAAAAACTTAATGCTTCAAACAAAACACATATTATGTTATATAAAACAGGTACTCATAAGAAGAATAGGAAGCCTAAAGAATATATTATTATGATAAGGAAGTACTACTGAAATAAGTAATGGAATAAATTAAATAAAAGTTAATGAGATCATTAAGAAGTTACCTTCATACCGTAGTTCTCTTTTCTTTCTTATTTTTACAGGTTGTAATTCGTCATGAACTTATTTCTTTATTTTTGTCATTTTATTCGTCATGGACTTGTAATTACTTTGTATTTATTTCTCTTTATCCTTTCCTTGGCCTTCAGCTTTCTTCCTCTCCCAATTTTTCCCTCTCAATCTCCCAATTCTCTCATTTCATTTTAGCCTTCCCCTCTCTCTGTTGCTCATCACCAATGATGAGCACGTAATTTCCACTGTCCAGTGTGTTGGGAATATTTTTAAAATGAAAAGCTGTATTTTTTGGAAAGTCATATACTTAAGTAAATTTGTTAAATTAATAAATTTATATGGAGGGTTGTGTCCTATAAATTAATATATTAATATGAGAGTTTGCGTCTTCATATAAATTAATATATATTTATATGAAGAGTTGTATAGGTAGTTACAATACTAAAAGATACCAAAGTTAGTTTCTAAAGACACATAGAAAGGTATGATAACCACCACTTGGTGGAAGGTTATGTCATTTTTTTAAGGCAATCTTACATAATAAAAAGTATGACTCTTCATGGAAAGGATATTAAATATCTTTTAGTTATTTAAATTATGTTGGTTTATGAATCAAATATGGTTAGGACTTTTAGTTGAAGAGATATTGGTCTAAGAGGCATCTTTGCAAGGAATCACTTCATGATCTATATAAACCCCTCACCATCAATCCATTTAGACAAAAAGAAAGGAGACGCTACACAAACATACAACAAGATTAAACTTGTTTCCTTTATCTTTGAATACAAGCAAAGATAAAGTCAAATTCTTAATTTGTAAAAGTCATTGTTTTCTTGGCTTGAACTTTGATAATGCAATTGATGTTCAAGGATATTCAATCTACCTGTAGAGAATTCACCAATCAACCTAACTTGTATCCTATAATATTAATAGGTGAGGGCGAATTGAGCCTAAAAAAATGTTGGCCATACCTTAAAGATATTGTGCATCACTTTCTTCCTTATCTCTTCTTATACTCTTTGTAGAATCATTTCCGCACACAGTGAATATCGAATTGGATTGACTTCTAGATGTGTAGCCTGGCCTGTGTTCGTAGTCCGTGAAACATGATTTCTTAGAAAGCCTTGCATGCAATTAGCTTTTGCAAACCTAATAAATTATCCTGTTTTCATTAAAATTTTATGTTATAACATGTCGTCAAAGCATAAAATTTATTTAAAATTGCTCATTTGCTACAAGCTTTGGCCAATTCGTAACTTATTATTATAAGGGTAAAATACCTCAACATCCCCTTTATTTAACCTAATGCTCAGTTTGGTAGTAAGGAATTAAAGGCTGGGAAGTGGAAGTGGAACCATACTTTTGGCAATTTGTTATCATGGAACTCAGTTCCTGACTTCCATCAAAATCGATGGAAGTGAGTTCCTTGCCTACCCCCATGGAACTTAGTTCCAATCCCAGTTCCATGAGGCTTTTTCCTTCCTTGCCCTTTGCTCTTTCTCCTTCCCTTCACCACCACCAACAACAACGGTCCTCCACAGTGACGGTGGCGAGGACGGTGGTGAGGATGATGATGACAGAAGATGGCAACGACTCTGACGTGGATGACAGAGGACGACAACGACTCCGACATGGATGACAAAAGACGGCAACGACTCTAACAAGGATGACAGCAGACAGTCACGACTCCAGCAAAGACGACAGAAGACATAGACTCTGGTGAGGACAATGGCCTTCATCGTCTCTCCACCTTCTTCAGCCTCTTTCTTCTATCATCAGCAAAAACTTTTCCCCTCTTTCATTGCCTCCCATTCTTTCGTGAAATGAAATAAAGAACTGCAATTAAGAAAACAAAAGACATAGATCGACAGAGAAAAGGACAGCTTCCTAGGCTTCTTAGGCCTGCCATAGATCCATTGGCAGATGACTACTTCTTCACCGTCTACTCCTTTAAACTCTCACAAGCTGGAAATGGTGGGTGTGTAAATAAGATTAGGTTCTTGCCTAATCTTTGTACAAATCTAAAATGGATCAAGACTAGTTTTACATTATAATGCGTTTTTTTTTTTAAATTTTATTTAGATCACTACATGGTGCGTGCTGTGTCTACTTTAGCCGGCAGTGATTTTTATTTTCAATGATGGATCATGGATAGTGGAGGGTTCAGGCGGTGGAAATTTTTTTTGTGGGGAAGGGTATCTTAGTAATTTCTCATTTTAATTACATATATAAATTACAAATAATACATCACTTCCCAGGACATACCAAACACACTTTAAATTTCATTTCCTCTTCCATTTCCACTTCCAGTTCCATTTCTACTTCCACTTCCAATTCCATAAAAACTCTTCCATCATACCAAACAGGGTATAAGTTACAGGAGTTCCTTTTTATTTTGAAAACCTATATAAACCTCCCTTAAAATCAAAGTATATATTGTGCAAACCTTCCTTCTAGTATTGAGATTCAATTTTCATCCACCGAACTATTAGGTGACTATTAAATTATATGATCGACTTATTATTTTGACCAAAATACCCCTCTTTAATGCAAATATTACTTAAGAATTATCATTTAATCACATATGATATATCTTTATTTAAAATTAAAAAAATAATTTAATACATATTTTAAATTTTTTGTCACTCTATTGAATGGATTGCCATATTATAAATTTAATTAATTTTATAAATACAAAATTTTATTTCATAATAAATTTAAATGTTTAATGTCGTTTGTTTATTAAAACTTACTTGTGATATAATTTTTTAAATATGTGTATTATCTGAAAATATTTTGTAATTATATATATGTATTTTCAATTAAATTATAAAGTTATGTCTTAATTTAGTAAAAATATTAAATAGATCATTCATAAATATTAATATTAAAAGATAAACTAGAAATTTAATACAATGAGAGGTAAAGCAGTAAATAAGATTTATTTTAATATTTTTTAATTAAAAAAGGATAACTAATTTGGCAGTTCTTAAAGTTTTATGAGATTTTGAATTGGGTCCTTTTAATTTTATTTCTTTTTATTGAATCCTTATATTTCATTCTGTTAGAGCTACTAGTCCTTTTGTTAATTAATCCTTCAAACACCGTTAATGATGATGAAAGAGAGTGACATGGCATTGAAGCGATTCTATAGATATCAATGCTTGCATTCGTCTCTCATCTTTTGAACCAGTTCGTCTCTGCCCGGTGAGAAGGAGGACTCTTCCTTCAACCGGTTCTACTCTTCCATTAACATTGGTGCCCTGCTTCTATGTTGTGCGTATTCCGACGGTGATGTTGCTGAAGACTTGCCACATTGGTGGGAGGTGTGGAATCTGTCAAATAAGAAATAAGTTGCCACTATCAAAATAAGCACATAGTGACAAATTAAATTACAAAGTTCGATGCCCAGCACCAATAATCTAATTGTTGAAACAATCCAACCAACAAATCTCAAGCTACGTACTGATATAAGGCTATTTTTTCCTGGTAGAAAATATTTCACTTGAACAGATTTTCAGAAAGAAATTAGCACTCAACAATCATTACCTTGAATTTGCTTCCAAGAGTTTCTTTTGTAGAATATAGGCCCTTTCAGCAGTTTTATTGATCTTCTTGCTTAAAAGAGATACAAGGTCATTAAATGAGTATGAGAAGGGGTATGATCTAGAGAACTTTGCTCAAGGTTCTTCTCTTGGGTCATACACATCTTTAATTATATAAGTGCCTATGTCGTCTTCCTTGTTAAAAACAGCTTTTAAGATTAAGATATTGTTAACTGTCGCCAGTTGAAGAAGAAGCCTTCCTGCTCCTAAATCGGTTTCCAGAGAGAGAGAGAGCCATGAGCTTTTTAGTGGCGGAGAGAGAACACGAGCATTAATTGATATCTATGGAGCCGCTTCAATGCCACCTGAATCTCTATTATCATAAGTAACAGTTTTTGGGAGGTTAATTAACAGAAGGACTTGAAGCTTTAACGAAACGAAGTATAAGGTTTTGATAAAAAAGAAATATAACTATAGGGATCTAATTCAAACTCTTTAGAAACTTTAAGGACTGTCAAATTAATTATCCCTTAAAAAAATACTCAAAGGATCTTTTCAGAATATTTTTTAAGAGTAATCAGAGTATTTTATTTTTATTATAATTAATATTGCTACAACTGCGACCATCACAAGTTTTTTTTAACCAGCACCACATCTTAAGTTTTATTCTATATTTTTAACATTTTTGAAATGTTTATGTTATCCTTACTCTAGTGTTTCTCAATATCTATTTCTATTTTCATGGACAGAGATATGTATCGAGCACCAGTTTGAATCTTATGAGGATTTAGAAATTTTGGAAGATGGCGGTTATAGGGGTACAACATATGCAGTTTGGTCATCAGGAGGTCTTTCCTACGACAACTTGATTATGTTGCGGCTGACTGATTGCAACAAGTGCTGGAGAATTCCTGCACTTGGACGACTACCTTCTCTGAGGTCCTTAAGAATTGAAAGATTACGAAGTGTGGTGATCGTGGGTTCTGAGTTTTTCAAGGCTGCAAATGATTGTGCTTCACTTAAAGTACCGTTTCCCTCCCTTGAAACCCTTCATTTTGAAGATATGATCTCCTGGCAACAATGGCATTCTATTGATATGCATGCTTTTTCTAAACTCCGCTTTCTTAGCTTTGTTGATTGCCCCAAATTAGTTGGACATTTACCCCCCCAACTTCTTTCTTTAGAGGGTTTGAGAATTATGTCATGTCCAATGCTTTCTTCTTCTATCCCAAAGTGTCCAAACATTCATGAGTTAGCTATAAATAAAAGTCCAAATGTAGTGTTGCAAGAGCAAGAATTACCACCTTCCCTACGCGGACCGGCAATTTCAGGTGGGCGCATGTTGGGGTCTCTGTTTGTAGAGTTGCATATTGAAGATTTAATTGTCTTGGATTGGTCTGACGCGGTGCCACCTCCAATGATTCATATTCCCCCATCAGTGAAACGGCTACTTATAGGAGACTGTGAAAATCTCAAGGCTTGTTTGGTTTCAAAGGCACCTCTTGTTCATCTCCGAAAGATTTCCATTTGCAATTGCAAGTTTCTGACGTCCTTGTTTGATGACATGGAAAGTCTTCTTCCAAATTTAAAAAGCTTATAATAGAAGGATGTCCAGAAATGGAGCCATTCTCACCAGGGTTGTTACCATCCAGTTTAAAACAACTTGAGATAATAAAGTGTGACAAGTTATTATCATGTCATGCGAAATGGCATCACCTTCCAACTATCATTAAGCTTGTCATCTCTACTGATTCTGACACATTGCATTGCATAGGGCTTCAACACCACCTCTCTTCAACAACTAGAGCTTCGATATTCTGACAAGCTTGAGAAAATAGAAGGAGGAATGATGCCTCCTTCCCTACTAATGCTCCACATTAGGGATTGCTCGCTTCTCGAAGAGCGATGCGTCGCCAAGGATAAGGAAATTTGGCCCAAAATCTCTCACGTTTCATACATCAGTTTAAATGGCTGGCGTTTCTGGTGCGTTGATCCCTTATTCCAAGTAATAGTTTGATATAAGTATCATATTTGCATATTATATGCAAGTAGAGAAGCTGGTAGTGTTTCCATATAAATTGTTTCTCAGTATTCAATTATCCGATTCGCTGAATCCTCCAATATTATTACTCTTCTTATGTGTATACAGATTCATTGGAGTGAAATTTACTTCTAAGACTCTTTTCTTATTTTTAGCATTTTTCTTTACTCTCAACTTCTTGAAACATGACTCTCTTTTGGTGGAAATTTTCTAGCTATTTAATTCTTCAATGCCTTCTTCAAATTCTTTCATTTATTAGTTCTTGTATATACACTCGATCACTACATTTTTTTCAAGTACTTTTTGAAAAAAATTAAAGGAGTACATTTATTATTCCCAGATACAACATTCAAAGTTCTCTCTCCAAGTTAGGGCACAAATTATCATGAGGTTATATTTCTAATGATTGAATTAATACAATTGCCACCTCCCAAACTTGTGCCTTCTCATTTTCCGCAGGGACTGGTTTGAGTATATTTTTGGAGACCAAGACATGAATGATGCAACAATCCTTGAAGACCACCAAGACAATGATGCAACAATCCTTGAAGACCAAACAATCCTTGAAGACCACCAAGACAATGATGCAACAATTCAGGTAATTGGGAATGAAAATCTCTCATTCTCTCCCTCTTAAAGAAATGAATACATATATAAATATATTTGTGTATATACATGTGTGACTACTCTGTATAAATTGAATTTAGCGGTCACAAACATTCCTTGCTAAAAATGTTCCTTCATGCTTTAGGTACAGCAGTCACCATCACCATCACCATCAAAGTCAAGGGCGATTATCAAATTTTTCAAAAGATGTTTATCTTTTCTTTAGTTTTTCCTTTGTTCTATTTTTGATGTTTTCTCCGTTTTTCTTTATATTTGTAAGACTTTTACTGTTATCCTATTTTTTTCTTGGGTTTTGATGTCTTGGAATTAGGATCTTAGGTAGTAGCCAGAAGGTCTCTTTTTTTCCCCTATTACTTGCATTTGTTTGTAGTGATATTTGATGTAACCATGCTATTTCTCCGCCGTACGTCCGTCCTTCTTTAAGAAAAAAAAGAAAAAAAACTCTTAATGGTTTTTTAAATTCTTTTACCATGCACGATTCCTTGATGGCTTGGAAATATTAGAAGTTATTTTAAGTTCTCAATAATGTTTTTCTCATGTCACATAAGTATTAGAAATGAATGATCAATTTAAATATTTTTATTCAAATACCTTCTTTTGGAAAATATGATAATATTAGCATAACAGATACTCCTCCGGTCCTTAATATAGGACCTAATTCTTAAGTTGGTTTTGGTCCTAAATATAAGACCCATTTCTCATATTTATCAATTTTCTCTAAATTACCCCTATAGATACTCTCTCAACCATAATTAAGTAGGAGAGGGAGATGGGGTATTAAGAAAAATGATTATGGTATTTTAGGAAAAATATGTCACTTTTCTTATAATTAACTAACTTACCTAACTTCCTTAATCTAATCAAATTAGTTAAATGGATCTTATATTAAAGACCGGAGGAGTATTTAATCTGTCGACAAGATTAAAAGATATTAACATCGGTTTCCCTTGCAGTGGTATAGGTTTCTCACTGCCTGCTAATAGCTAACTTTGCCACATGCTAATTGATTTGGAAGCCTTGATTTATTTGATTGATTTGTTTGACCATTGATTTGGTTGGACGAGTTGGTTTAGATTGGGGAATGGTTTTGATGGACTTCGCATGATGGCCATTCTTTCGTTCGTTGTTGAAGCGTGGTTTTATATGGTCACATTGCGTTTTCTTTTTTAGAAAAACGTGCTGAATATATACTATCCAATTGACTAATTTAAAAAGATTAAAAAAATTAAAAAGCTAATTTAATTATAGCATGTGTTATTTATAATTTTTATATTTATATGATGATTAAATTATATATTAATTTATAAGTTAGGCAAATTAAATGGAGATAGTATATATTTATAGTAAAAGTCCAGTCATCCGCTTGAGAGGGGAGAAAGAGTTCAGAGCGAAAGAAGACGACAAAGAAAAGAAAGAAGACGACAAAGAAAAGAGAAGACATTACAAAATTTATCATGCCTCAGCCATTCATTTGAAGCCCAATGTGAATGGCCCAATAATGATCTTTTTCAGGTTCAAGCCCATATTATTTGGATTTATTACAGTGTTGTTGATGCCAGAAAATGAGATTCATTGTCACTAGAGTTGGATCTAACAAAATGGGCTAATCTCCCATAACATGACTAATCAATGTTTGAATCTCTATTGGAAAATGATCCCACATCTAATATCCGACAGTACTTCGAAATAATATTGTTTCTAATAGGAAGATACTTATTTTTTAGCCCAAAAAAGAAAAGAAAAGGAGATTCATTGGTGTTGTACATTCTTTGCTTATTTTTGTTATTTCTTAATCATATTCGAAATGTGTTAGTGAGTAAACTATTAGGGTTTTGTAAATCTGATGTGTTAACTTTGACAGTCTAGTGCATCTTAAAGTAAAATCACTTCATTTCATTGCATTAATGAATTTCTTTTGGGCAAATAATGTGCACTTTTCATAAAGTATAACATCTCGTTTTTCCTTCTCATTTAGAATAATTATGATATATAGCAATTAAATATAATAAACTTGATAATGTTGACATACTTTAAAGAACAACTACTTCATAGAAATAAATTTCGAAATACTTAAAAAGTATGATAGCGTGAAATTTCATTAAGTAGATTTGAATCACTCAATTGTCCTGATGTTGAAGTAAATATTACATTGTAGCGTTTTGAAGGCCATTTTATATTGACCAATGGTACACCGTACACAATCTATTACCGGCGGTGTTGAAGAGTCATCTTTTTCTTACTGTTTTTTTTTTTTTTGGTGATATCTTTTTCTTACTTTTACTACTTTAATGGGTACAAGAACATAAAGTAGTCATTTCACATTGGCCAAGAGAGGAGCTTTGATCTAACAACATGATAAGTGGAGGATGTCAACTGCTGCTCATTCTTTTCATGGAAGAGTGAGATTTAAACTTTGACGAAGCAGCTGTAAGAATGCACTGTGATTCCATGATGAAGGTGATAATTTTTTTTTATAATTAAAATCAAGTCCGGCTACCAAGCCAGCATGCCATGTCAGCAGAATAAATGGTGTTAATGATGTATCAGCAAACTTAACATCGTTAACTTCACCTACACGTCCTTCTTAAACTATAATGACTGAAGTTATAAATAAATTAAAACTTAAAGAACCAAAATTTATAATTTGAAATTTCATACCCGAAAACCAAAACTAAAACCAAAGTGAGAGGAAATTATAATGACCAAACATTACATTAACCTTTTTCCATTTTGTCACTCTCCATCCATCTTATTTCCCATTCAAATACAGTCATCACATTGATTGGGATCCAATCAAGATGCTCATAAAAAAAGATGGCCACCCAGGATTAGTGTTCTGAACTATCTAGATCTGATTTGAATAATTTAGATTTATTTTTTTATTTTTTATTTTTTAAAAACAATTATTTTAATGGATATAAAATTTAAAACAAAATTAAGTGTTACTTTTTAAAAAATAATTAATTAGAAATATTAAATATCTCAATCATTCAAATTGTATTTGGACAGTCTAGTGCTTATCAAGAGTTGAGTAGGGAAGATAAGCACCCAAACTAAATCTAGACAAAAGAGATGAAAATAATCTACTAAAGGAAAAGGAAAAGAACAAAATGTTTCAAAATCGCCTATATGTTCCATTTGGTTCAAAAAAAAAAGAGAAGTTATTATAAGTTCTTAGCTTCTCATTAATGTTTTCCTTATGTCACATAAATATTAAAAAATAATTATAAATTTTGATAATATTAACGCACAAAAAATTTAAACTATGAATGTGAAATTTTGTTCCCGTAATTATGAAACGACAAGAATTGTAATATTTACCTTTTGAATTTCGAATTCTTAGTGTGGCATCCTAATATAAGCTATAAATGTTCCGCTGATTAGTCTAAACTAAGTTAGCTTCTATCAAATTAATTTTTTAAATTTTTACTTCAAATGTTAAATTAAAATAATTTTATTTAAAATATAAAAAACAAAAAAAATTAAATAATTTTAAATTTTGAACAATCATTTACACCCGAAAGACGTTTATTAGTATATGTTTGTTGACATATATTACTATTTCAAATATCAGGTCCGGAAATAATAATTTTTAATATTATCATCATATTTGATTATTTAATTTTATCGTGTCTTTAGTTCCAATATACTCTAATTCTATAAATTATGTGTGGGTTTTGTGCGTTCCCAAATGCTGTATAAAATGGGAAGAAAAATTCAATAATTGAGTATAGTGGGAGAGGCTAGTCCCTTACAAGGTAACTAATTAAAGTTCAAATTTTTACTGGAAAAGATGCTTACATTTAGTGCATGACAATGCCTCAAATAAAATTATCTCTAATAGGAAAATAAATGTGTCACACAAAAAAAAGGGAAAGAAAATTCTATAACATAATACCACCTTTGATTCTTAAAATATGATCTAAATAACTAATTTGCAAATATTTAAACAATAGTTAAATTAGTTATCTGTAATAAATAGATTTTTTTAAAATACTTTTGTTAATCATCTATACTAGAATGAAAATCCTTTACCATATGCAGTCACTTGGAAAAAAATGAATAACTATAAGAGACAAAGTAAATTGGTTTCTTATATTTAAAATCAAATTGAATATCTAATTAGAGTATATATTCGGGATGGGAGGTAGCATATTACTTTCTCATCGTAAGACATATCTTTCACAGTGACTTTGTTCATAGGATTTGAGTTTACTTTATCTACTAAATTTATAATTGTTTTTACTTTTTTTTATTAATTATACATATTTAGAAGATTTTTTTTCACCATGAGAGTAACTTCACAAATTAATAAAGGGGTCATTTAAAAAATAAACAGATATAATTTTTATAAATAATTAACTCAATTAATTATTAAATTACTATATGTCCTTTTTTTTTAGCAACATATTAAGCTATCATATGTATTTCATACGTTTCTCATCTTTGATGTAAGAGGTTAAGAGTTATTAAACTAATTTGATTATATTAAAAAAATTAGATAAACTAATTAATTATAACCAATATGTGACTAATAAGTTATTGATTAAAATGGTAAGACCTCATAAAAAAGAGAATACAGGTTCGAATTTTGAGACACTTTAAATTACACAAAAAATTTATAACAAGTATATAACATTAAATTCTATATATTAATTTATACATATAGAAGACAAAAAGAAAATTAATATTTAAAAGCAGAACTAACTCAACACCCCAAACTAGTTGGCGCAAAAAAATATGCTGGTATTTCCCGATCTGACATTGTGAGGATAAAATGGTCGCCCTGCGTTGGACCCATGAATGACCGTTGGACGTTGTGTAGACTGTGGATGAAGCCATTTGGTTATTTAACGTCAATCTTTGGATAAGGCGGCTCCATAATCACACTCCGTTTTAGTCAAATTTCAGGCACTCTCTGTCTTGTTCCTTATTTATATATTATTCCTTACCCGAGAGACACAGCCCATGTGGCACTCACCAGTCCCGGAGACGAAGACGTTGTGCCCACGGAATCCTGGAAGCTTTTGGTTCAAGGCTGCTTCTTCTTCTTCTGATGCTGTTTTTACTCAGTCACACAGCAAAGCTTGAGGAACAAATATGGCGACGAAGCTCACCACTTGCTTTCTTTGCTGCAATTTAAGTCACCTCAGCTGTATTCACTCTAATGCAGTTCGCTTTTCCTTGCCGTCGCATCGGTTTCTCACTGCTTCCTATAGAATGCGACAGCGTAATCTCAGGTGCTACTTGTAGTTTGCTTTACCACATGTTAGTTGATTCGGAAGCGTATATTTGTTTGATTAGTTTTCTTGGCCATTAATTCGTCCAACTTGATTTGGTTTGGATTGGGAGATGGTTTTGTTGGATTTTGCATAATGTTTTTGTTGTCATTCTTTCGTTCATTGATTGAAGCGTGATTCATTTTCACTATTCATGAGAAAACGAGATTCATTGGTGTTGTGTATGCTTTGCCTCTTTTTGTTATTTCTTAATCATATTCGGAATGAGTTGGTAAGTGAACTATTAGGGTTTTGAAAATCTAATGTGTTAATTTTGAGACTCTAATGGGGCTAAAAGTAAAACAACTTCATTTCATTGCGTTAATGAATTTATTTTAGGCAATGCTACGTATTGTTCATGAAATGTAACATCTCGTTTTCCTTCTCACTTAGTGTTACTGTAATCTAGTAGTCAATGGAATTGAATGTCAACCTAGTTAAAAGAACTAGTTATCTGTATTTGGTTAAATTTTGTTTTTGTTTCTTCTTCTATAATGCCTACTATACGTTGCTAGCTAGTAATTTTGTATATTTGGTAGTTAGCATGCACGAACTCATACAACTGTTCACAGTTCCCAGCACAAAAAGCAAAAGATCAAGAAAGCTTCTCATGAACCCCCTCCCACTGAGGGCGATCTCCATCCAAGTGAAGATGAGGACTCTGAGCTTAGAAAGGTTTCTTTGGATGGCATACCAAATTTGAACAAGGATATCCTAGACGCTAACACTGATATGGCTAGTGACAGCAGAGATCATGTCCAGTATATTGATGTGGAGAATTTGAATAATCCTGCTGTACTAGCTGAACCAGCACCTTTGGTATCTACTTCATCTAGATATGTAGCCTGAAATTGTGGATTTATTCCTTCTGATTTCTGCTGTAGAATTGTGTCTGTTTTGTTCAATTCTTTTCTGTTTGGATGTTAGTCTGTTCACATTCACACATCTATAGACCACCTATTTAGATATTTCATGGTTAATCATTCTATATCATGGATCTCTCTTTGAAGTGTCGTGAGAAAGAGGAAGCTAAAAGAATGTAACAATGTTTTTTTGTCGCTACATATGCAGATGTAATTTATTTTGAATTGAGAAGTATGACATGAAGTACATTCCTACATATTGGTTTCTCTGTAATTGATATTTGGTGGCATCTACTGAATATTATTTACCTTGTTTGTATTCATCTATGTTGAAATTTAAGGTTCACAAATTATTGGGTGTGATTTACTTAGGAATTTTCAATATTGGTATTTGAATCTTGGGACATGTTATTATTTGGTGTTGTTTTCATATTCCAGTAGTCTTATTTTAGTTGCTTTACAATTTATTGTTTTAAGAATCTTATAAAATAGGCCTGGTTATCATTTGTTTTTGGACATATTGATATTGAATCAAGTTTTATTTGCAGTCTTTCTGTATCACTAATTTTGGTTTCTGTTCTGTATCACTACCAATGTCAAAATTTCAAACATGAGTCCTTTATTGTTCTTCAACACTGGGTGGAATATTGGTGCATGGTCTTTTCAGTGCAAGCGTCTGGACAAATAGTTACTGTCCCATGTGTATCCTTACTTGGCTATGAAAATGATAGATA